AGCGTTTCCACCCGAAAACGTCTGCATAGCCACAGCGCGTTAGGTCGCTAGATTGCCATCTATGAAACCTGGCGTCGAATCCCCCGTAACCATTCTTTGCTGAAATGTTTTCTAACTTGTCTAACGCTAAACGTATTTTTCGCAGACATCTAAGCAAGGAGTAATCAACGTGTGTGCATAGCATAGGGCCGTTATAATCGCTATGCCGCTTGGAAGCCATGGAGCCCATGGTTCGAATCTCAGTAATTCGTTTGCTGAAATATGTTCTAAATGGGCCATTCCTAGTATACAAGGAACATGTGCGTGATTTCTAATTTGCCGCGGGCGCCCCGTTAGAGGCGCCAATGGGTAGCGAGCTTAGTTATCCCAATGATTTCGTTCCATAAATACGGGTTCGAATCCCACCACGGCACCAGTGTTCACGGCCCAAAGTAGTGTCCTAGCACATTACCTGTTACTGAAAACTACGACGATTTGCCAAAGAGGAATATTGTGACCAGCTTTCAAAACTTAAACATATGAAAAAGAAACATTCTAAATTTCAGTTTAACGTACAATTCTTATTATAATCCATATCATGAACGCCCATTGCTACTGCGCATGCTCGTGGCAACTTATCCTAATAAGAAGGATGATGAAGCTCAATAATGATTAAAAATAGCACGTACAAGTAAAACGCGAGGCATATGCCGCGGGACGATGTTCAAGTACACATTGCCATAGATAGATAGATAATCAGTCACTAACCCCCACACGCAAGTAGATTAGTATCAGAGTATATAATAGAAGATATATCTTCTAATTATAACTCCTGATGAGTATTTTCTAGGTTAGACTTAAACAATGCTCAAGTAATCAAACGTTCTCCAATATATTCCCCCCAGCTATAGACTCAGTCTACCAAAACGATGTGCAAAAATCAGACGGAATAACGCATCCTAATAAATGTAGCGATAACGGGAGATTCTCTTACGTATCCACGAGAACCGTCCCACGCCGTTATTCCGCAAGACGCCCACCTAACCACCCAAATTGCCATCTATCTATCTATCTGCTCTTGTTTTATCCATCTATCTATTCATCTATCCATGTATGTGTATCTATCTAACTATCTACCCATTTATCTATCTATCTATCTATCCATCCATTCATCCATGCATGCATCCATCCATCTATCTATCTATTCATCAATCGATCTATCTATCTATCTATGTATATATCTGTCTATCTATCTATCTATCTATCTATACTATCTAATGCCATACTATCTAATCTCATGCCATCTAGCCTATCTAGCTTATCTATCTATCTATTCATCAATCGATCTATCTATATAATACTACCAACACGTACAATAACAATTAACTTAATTTAATTATTAGGTAATAACATTAATTAAATGACAGCAAAATTAATATATATAATGGACGTTATATCGTTCTAAGGATAATACCGGAGTTGTGTTGAAACGCTCATGGCGGTGTTAAAATAATTGGAATGTAGTCGGTTATACTATGGTCATACGTAAATATTTCACAATATCGGAGAGCCTGTCTACGAGGAAACGTTCACTTAACGCCTAGTCTATTCAGTAGGAATTAGCATTTTCTGAACACGAGCCAGCTTCAGGTGTGTACATGTAACTCTAGCTGCTGCTCCTTCGCACGTGGTTCGGGCCGATAACCACTCAATCGTTGCATGAAACCCCGTTGACGTTGATTCTTCGTCTTCTCGGCACATTCATCCGTTTATAACGAGATGATTGACACTGGAAAATAAATTACCACTGTACTGTAATTATTATATGCGTTATTATAATTATACTAGCCCCTATTACCCGTCCTCCAAGACGCGGTGTTGAGTAGGGGCTGCATTGAGCATGGCGCGCCTTTACACCATTTATCTCTCACCTTTTAGCTGAGGATGCTATTTACAGTTAATACGAAAAAATTACTGATATTTAATTTAGACCTCGAATCATATATTCAATATTTGTTTTAAAAAAAGCTTGCTACTAATATATATAAAATCTGAAATTTACCTTGAAACATGACCATGGTAATTTTTTCTAAAAAAGCAGAAATGATGGTGATTCATCAGTACAATATGACCTTATTTAGATATTAACTTTTAGCAAATATTATTCTGGTTAGAGCCGATGCAAATAATAAGTGAAATTCTGAAAAAAATGTATGAGGTAGTTGTGAAGAGAGTAGTGATGCTAGAGAGAGGTGTCGAGTTGAGCTCTGCGGTGGCGTCGGGCACGGGCGTCGGTGGGTTAGCAGCTCCCCGGTGTTCGACGAGGAGAGCGAGTGGGGAGGTTTGCGAGGCGAGCGTCGACGGGGGCGCCGCGACGACAGCGACACAGTGGCACTACAGGATGCGGCGGCGGGGCGCGCGCGGAGCGGCGAGAGGCGACAGCGCGCGGAGGTGGTCAGCAGGCGAGCGAGGACGGTCGGAGTGGCGGCGAGTGCGGGAGCGAGATGGCGAGCGAGCGCGGGGGCGCACGCACGGCGAGGGCGAGAGGCAGAGCCACATGTGTGAGAGGCGAGCGGGGGAGGAGACGGCGGTGGGCGGTGCGAGAGCACATATTAGCGCACACGCGGGGGACAGCGCGACGGCACACGCGACGTATGGCACAAGCGCAGCAGACGCGAGTCGGCGCGGCGCGGACGGAGCGACGGAGCGGAGCAGCGAGGGCGACGACGACGGAGGCACGAGAGCGATCTACGAGCAGGAGGAGCGAGTAGCGAGCGATAGGAGAGCGAGCGAGGTGAGCGAGAGCTGCGAGCGCGTCGTGCGTGCGTGTGGCGGGTGGGGCGGGGTGTGTGTGCGGCGCGTGCAGCGAGTGCGTGGGGGTGCGGCGGATGGGCGAGTGGATTGGGCGTGGGGGGGGTAGTACTACACGCGGGCCGAGGCGGCGAGTAATGGTGCGCGTCGTCTGTGGGTGGTGTGCGGTGTGCTGCGTGCGTCTCTGTCGCTGTGTGTGGTGCGGGTGTGCGTGGCGGGAGGGGGGGCGGGGAGGAGGTGGGCGTGCCGGTGAGCGGTGGGCGGGTAGTGGGCGTGTGGTATGCTGAGTGCAGAGCGCGGGGCGGGCGAGGCTAGAGTGGATAGATGCGTCCTCTTCTGTACCCGTATGTAATAGTCGTGTTTCCAATTAGCGAAGGTGTTAGGTGATGAGCGTGAGTGAGTTATGTGGGAGTGTGAGAGGAACGCGGGGGTGAGGGGGGGGCGGTGAGGAAAAAACACATTCATATTTTAACACAATTTCAAAATGTGTTGTGCACGCACATCGCACACACGCGCGGCGGCGCACGCACGCACGCACGCCCACGCACGCAGTACGCACACACACACACACACACATCACATGCTACACACGGCGCGCAACACACCGTGCACGTTGCGGCTAGCAGGTGCATTCAACATGCTGGATTGGGACTGCGAATGCGGATTTGGCGATTCTTAAAATTTCGGTGGCGAGTCTTGCGCCGCGATGATGCCGAACGTCTTTTTTGTTTTTTTATTGGGCACATAACTTTTTAGGAAATTGCCTGAAAAAGTCACTTTACCATCGAAAAATCGCGTGTCTAACGTAGCGGAATGTGTATTCGCCGGACGTCCAGAAGGGGCCCCCAGCCTCGGATTCGCGCGGCACACGCGGCACGGTTTCGGAGGAGATATGGAAAACGACACTTCGCGGCCTCTTTCTACTATTATATAGCTAGATAATATATATATATAATATATATATATATATATATATATATATATATATCTATATCATCATATATAATTACTATTCATGTGAGTAGTTGATAATTACATTAGTAAAGCGTGCAGAATAAATCGCGGTAATTGTTAGTTAGCCGAAGTCGCCATAATACCATGTATTTTTTAAGTCTTCCTTCACATGTCTATTACAACAGAACATGAACAGTTCTACTACAGTTCTGAACTACTGCTCGTACTCGTAGATTATATACATAGACTCGTCTTTTATTATACGCCTTAAACGTCTTAAACAACGAGCAAGTCCGTGGTTTGCGTTCATGATAAATCAATTGATACTGCATTAACTTACGTCAGGTTCGTGTTGCTTCCATGAGCCTTTCAAGTTACCACAGTTAAAAATGCCCATAACAAATACAAATACACAAGATGGTAGGGAATGATTCTGTTCACGTATCAATTGAATGCGAGATCTCGCGCGAGAGAAGCTCTTCACATCGTGACGAAACCCGATGTTAATCTGGTGAGCGATATAATACATTGGGTTATTCCATATATGCGCACTTTATAATTATTTTTCTCAGTAGATGGCGCTAGAACGTCAAAATTCACCTAGCATTTCTTAATGCCATTGGATGGTGACGCCCTCAGCGAAAAGAGCGGTACATTTTAAACTTCTTCTTCTCGGGTCACTACACTACACTCGGCCTAGCCACTGCAGCACACAGGATCTGGCACGGTGGTTGGAAGGCTCAAGGTCTCCAGGGATACAGGGCTCTGGTAATAGGGGCATTTCAGAAGATGTCCCATAGTCTGGTCCTCCCCGCAGTCGCATTCGGTTGGGCCATCTTCAGTGTATCCCCATTTCTGCACGAGTACCCTGCATCGACCAAAACTTGTCCTGAGGCAATTTAGGCATAACCACGCCGGCCATGCCTCGTTGGCTCCGGGTGGGAGGGATTCCTGGGGTCTGAGTGAAAGCTTATGTTGATTTGCCTAAAGATGCTTTGACCATTACTCTTCTGTACTGTTTCATGATGGAAGAGGGGGTGGCGAGGGTAATTTTCTTGGTTAAGTTTCTCTACTTGGGATGAAGCCATTCATCTAACGTGTGGAGAAGCAATGCCACAGAAAAGGTAGAGGCCATCTACGTTATTTGGTCTCAAGCATCCAGAAATGGCTCTGCAGACAGTGTTCAGAACTGGGTCAATTTTTGCAGCATGGGGCGACCTACTCCAGACAGGGCACGCATACTCAGCCGCAGAGTAGCACAGGGTGATAGCAGTGGTTCTGATTGTCATGGCGTCGGTTCCCTATTTAGTAGTGGCCAACTTCTTTAGAATACTGTTTGTGGCACCCACTTTGGCCTTTGTCTTGATGATGTGATTTTTGTAAGTTAGAGAGCAGTCTAAAGTAACACCTAGGTAGACTGGGCTATAGGTATGTTTCAGCCATTTCTCATACCATTTGACTTTTTTTCATTTTAAAGTGAGTTCAGAGTTTCGAATCTAGCGGATCACCATATCTCCACTGAGACCTACTAAAATGTATAACTACTGGCGGCAGTAAATCTAGTCTATACTTGGTGGCAATTGTGTTATTTAAGCAAATGGATCGGTGGCAGAGAACTGGTGATAATAGTGTAACGCAACAGTACAATGGACAATAGCTGAAAATCAACGTGTAGTAGGCACGTGCCAAATGAAAGAAAGTAGCTCTCATCCCAAAATCGCTTCCAATACTTATCCGTAAGCCAATCGCGCTGGTGTGATTTTCACATACACGTGTAAAGTATGCACTGAAATGCTATAGAGTTGCACACAAATACGGGTTTATGATGGGAAAATGACACACATAAAATACAAGTTTTAGAAAACTTTACATAACAGACAGTTTTATTCAGAACCACACTTTAACATCACCCTGAATCTAAAATGAAGACAGGGTACCCATAACAACGTCATTGCCAGACAGCACAAGTGACACTGTGCTGTTAACTGGTGCAAGAATTGTATTTGATTTCTGGTAATGTAACATATTCCCTGCCCCATAATCATGTTGCCCACACACAGACACACTAAGAGACAAACCTTTCAATTATTACAAATCCAATTACATTATCAGTGATAACTCCTAAACTGCAGACCTACAGCTAGATCTACAAGGATAACTGTGTTAAATTACTGTTAAAAATTTGGACATAGCTTTACATATTTGAATTTTATTACACGTTCATTACCTATTTGCAATACAGCAATGCCATTCTAAGCAAAATAAACACAGAATCGTGTCTGTAATGGTTATTATATGGTTTGCTCGATTTCACTTTACCATCAACATTTTTCTAAGGAATTTATGTGATGATTAGAAATTTCATAGGCTAATCAAACACTGCCGTGAGCAGAAAACGTTATATAGTAACAACAATGACAGTTACCTAGCTGTCTCCTATACAGACCAGACGCCACAGATCACAAGAACTAAAACCGGTGATTTCGCTTAGCCAAAAAAGCCAAGTGACAATGTACGCTAGGTTGCATCACTGCTGTCAGATAGAAAATGTACAGGTATATGAAGACCGGCAACACGACAATTTATATCACAGCTTCAAAAACCTTACAAGCCTCGCAGAGAACCCATTACATACGACTCATTTTCTAGGCAACCATTAGAATTAGGTTCTGGAATTTGAAAATTCCATCTCGTCTAGATTATAATTCGCCAACACGTACCTATAGGATGTAATTACCACATCGCAGGCGTTACGTACAATCTCGTAAACCGTTAAACATACCACCAACATACCAACATAACCTACCAAGTTCCAACATCAGCATTCACCTGTCAACCCTCAATCAGATATTATATCATATAAGCACACATTTTCAACTGGGCAGGACTGGATTTAGACATGTGGAGGCCCCCTGGGCAGCCTTCAGTAGTGGATGCCCACCCTACCTTAGAATACTAAAAACTAAAAGATGACAAGACATAGTTACAGTCATCCATAAAGTAAATTTCTTCAAGTAGAAAGAATCTGAATAAGCAAGCACGAAAATCGACGTTGAGATGGATATGACGTTCGATTTGAGATATTTGTCTGCCGATGTGTGCTGAGCAATGACAGGAAAACAACCAGTTAGCTGTTTCTACCACTCACAAACAAAATTCAATTACATTTTCCTTAACAAATATTGTTTCCGTGAATTATGTGGAGGCCCCTGGTTGTGAAGGCCCCTTGGCAGCTTGCCCAGCTTGCCCAGTCCTAAATCCGGCCCTGCAGCTGGGTACATAAGGAAATACTAGCATACCGACTGCAACTTGCATGAATTTTACACCATTCAAGATGGCGGACAGCGAACAAAAAGTAATCTGCTCTGCGTTATGTCAGTTGACTCTTCATCTCCTAAGCAAGAAGGATCATCGATCGACAACCACGACGTTTGAGTTGCCGATGTCATTGCTACTGCGACCCAGGAGTGAAGCATCTCGTAACAAACAGCAGAGCAGGTGGCCCAAAAACCAACGCAAAGTCTCTCCCGCTGCTAACAGACGAAGGCAAATGCCAAAACACAAAGTGACCAAGACTTGATTCGCGATTAAAAACACCTTTAAATACGAGAATTGAAACTAATTCGAGCCATTCCCAGTCAACAATATTTTTTCAAAGAAAATATATTTTACAAGCCCTACGCACTAACGCACAGTGGCTACGAAAGCCAAGCAACAATATATAGCCACGCGTGCGTCTAATACGAGGGCAACAGAACATTACTTGCGGAGAGACTTTGCACACGGCTTGCCTATCACAGGAAGACCTACGAACCATCGCCATGGTTACAACTCATCTTTCTGCTTGATGTATGGGCCAGTGTGATACTGCTCGGGGACAGCATCTTCTTCCTTCTCTCTCCGGAAGAAGCTGTGCTGAAGGAGGAGGTCGTTGCACTGTTCTCGATTCATCTCCTTCAACTCAACCGTCTGCAAGAATAGATGACACTGCTGAGGGTTCATACATATCAGGGGATAATTTAACAAGTGCCGCAGAGCAACAGCGCTCATCTAACGTCTACTGCGGTGACTCTGTGGTGGAGTGGTGGGATT